TTCTGAATTTATTAAGTTTTTAATTTCCGGCAGTCTGGTACTTTTATTATCTGTATCTTTTTAAAATATGTCGCGATTGGGTATAGGTTTTCGCTATGTTAAATTTTGCTATTTGTTAACGCTGACTTTGTACACTTTAATTAATATCTTGCTGTTTATATTTTTATCTAAAATTTTTATATTTCTTTCCCCCAACTGTTTCTGATTAAACGACATCTTGCTTTTTATTTTATCCCCTCCCTCTGATTTTATATAAATTTTTAAAGTCACATCACTTTTCCATTATTAATGGTGTTCTATTCCATATAGCAATTTGCAAACAATCTTCATGATGAAAAACGCGGTTAAGTGCTTATCATCAAGCCAGGACATCATTTCTTTAATAATTAAAATTTTTTAATTCTTTTAACTTGTTCGGTGATAACTTCATTTTACTGCTGTCATATATCAATATCAAAGTCAGTGTTTACACTCTTATTAGTTTTTGATTCGAATTCCACTTAGGTTCTTGCAATGCTTTTTTACATTATCTTACATACGTTAGGGCTTTATATTTTTATTTTGGGTTTAATTTTTGCTTGCCATTAAATTGTTGTTATCATGTCTCTGTGTTTTACTATCTTACAACCAATATTTCTTAACTATCCACATATATTTGTACAATGTTCTGTTACATATTTATACATAGCTTAGGGTCATCACTTAACTAGATCTGCTGGATTACAGGTTGAAAATTATTTTGCTTCAATATTATCAACGGGACAGTCCCTGGCCATATCATATGATATGCAGCAGATATCTGCTGCTGTTACCAAAAATGTTTTTAACAATTTAATCCTTCCTTAAGTTTACAACTTTTTCGTCATAGCGATGCCCTATACCCAATTAATTTTTATTTACTATCCCTGACCAAGTGTCAATTTGTCATAGCAATTATTAATTTTACCAATTTTACTCATGTCTTAAACATGCTTTGTATTTACCAATGTTTCTATATTGCGTTCTCTTTTCTAACTGTGCTTAACACAACTCAACATAAATTTTCTGAGTTTTATATCCCTCACTAGTAGGGGATCAACTAATTTAGCCTGTTTTCTATTCTTAGCTTTTCATAGTCTAATACCATCTTTTTTATAGATAAAAATTTTTTCACATGCCGCCACTGGTAGCACCGTAACATATTCGGCTTTTGTCCCGTTTGGTCCATTTTAAACTAATTTCGCTTCGACCACCGGCCCCACTCTTTATCTTTTGAGTTTTCATAGTATTTTATTGTTTTAGTAGTCTGTTTAATTTTTAGCTTAGTATCACATATCAAAATTTAAAATAATTTCATACTAGCTCCGACCATCGGACCATTATTTAAATTTGCTTTCTTTTAGGTTCCTCTAATATCTGACGCTTATCTAACTAATTATGATACCAATCAATCAAATTAACGTTTTTTATACTCGCTCCGACCTCCAGACTCACTTTCTAGTTTCTTGTTTTTTACAGTTTTAACAAATATTGGTTGCCTGTACTCAATATATTTTGTTCCTAATCAACATAACCAATACTTTCCCCACTCGCTCCGACGGCCGGACCCATTTTCTAACGGTTAGTACAAACCATTTAAAATTTATTTGAATAAGAACAGCATTCAGAAAGGATTCTGCAAGTGAAACAGGAGAAGTTTATCAAAGAAATTTTTTTAAAAAAAAAGCTTTCTGGATATATATTTATTCTACAATTATTAAGTTTTGCATTTTTAATATCCATTGCGAAAGATTCTTGTAAGTAACTATTTTTTGATGCATGATAAAATATCAACGAGAAATCTTGCCATAGCTGTATGGCAAAGGTGTACCATAGCCTATGGAAAAATATTTCGTCATAAGCTGTAGCACATCTAAGTTTTATGGCAAAAATTTGCCATATAAAAAATGCCATAGGATATTCCTATGGGGTTTTGCCTATGGTAAAATTTTGCCATACACTTTTGCCATATA